CTGCCTGCCTGCCTGTGCCTGCCTGCCTGTGCCTGCCTGCCTGCCTGCCTGTGCCTGCCTGCCTGTGCCTGCCTGCCTGTGCCTGCCAGCCTGCCTTTCCCTCCCTAATTCTCACTACTTCCATCCCTTCCTGCCTACCTCCTAGCATCTCTCCCTACCTCCCCCTCCCTCTTAGCATCTCTCCCTACCTCCTAACATCTCTCCCTACCTCCCCCTCCCTCCTAGCATCTCTCTCTCCCCCTCTGTCACTGATTCTCCCCCCCTCCTCATTCATACTGCCTCCCACCTAAGTTGCATCGTTCATCCACCCACCAGTCGGCCATCACTGATGCAATGCGTGCATTTGGAGCCAACATGGTGCACAGATGTTTCTTGATTGTGCAGATATGTAAAACAAAAGCACAGAATGAACATTCCAGCCTTATGGCAATTCAAAATAATAGGAATAATAGGCCGTGAATCTGTGAAGTCACAGTGGGCAAACTGGACCATCTCCCACCCACCACAACAAGCCGGCGTGACGCTTGGCGGACCCCTTCCTACCCGAACTTTGTTCGGGTAGCATGACTCCCCAACCCCAATCGGGAAACTGGAAGTTTCGGATAACTAAAGTTCGGAAACCAAGTGGTGCTCTGTACTAAAGAAATTGTTCACGACTTTTGTTAGGCCAAAGCTAGAATATGCAGCGGTTGTGTGGTGCCCATATCTAAAGAAGCACATCAACAAACTGGAAAAGGTGCAAAGACATGCTACTAAGTGGCTCCCAGAACTGAAGGGCAAGAGCTACGAGGAGAGGTTAGAGGCATTAAAGATGCCAAAATTGGAAGACAGAAGAAAAAGAGGTGATATGATCACTATGTACAAAACAGTAACAGGAATTGATAAAATCGATAGGGAAGATTTCCTAAGACCTGGAACTTCAAGAACAAGAGGTCATAGATTTAAACTAGCTAAACACAGATGCTGAAGAAATATGAGAAAATTCACTTTCGCAAACAGAGTGGTAGACGATTGGAACAAGTTAGGTGAGAAGGTGGTGGAGGCCAAGACCGTCAGTAGTTTCAAAGCATTATATGACAAAGAGTGCTGGGAAGACGGGATACCACGAGCGTAGCTCTCATCCTGTAACTACACTTAGATAATAACACATAGGTAATAACAAGAGGAAACAAAGCCCTCTGAACCCACAAAGGGGGTCCAAGAGGAAGAAACCTCCAGAATGAAACCAAAGAACCTGAAGGAACCCGGAATCGAACCAGGGGGAGCCCAAACCACCACATTTGCCGGCAGAGATACACCACAGAAAGGCAAAGCACAGCCCCAGGGAAACGGACAAAACAGACCGAAAACTGAGGGATAAGGTGTGGGAGCAAGCATAACAGACAGGGACCTTAACCACAAACCCAAGAGCCCAGACCCAAAAGAGACAAAACAAAAAACCCAGTGTAAAATCAACACTCAAACGTTCCCAGAAGAACAGGAAACAGGCAGGAAACACCAGAAAAGCAAAGAAACGACAACAGGAGAATAAAACCACTGAAAAAGGTGAAAAAACTCACCCCAGACGCTCGCTCGCACACCCAGGCGCATGTAAACAAACCGCAACGCTGCCCTGGTGGCCACGCAGGGAAACCGGCAGAAGAAAATGGCCACCAGAACAGAGGGCTGTGACTAACGCTAAAGATACAAAAATATGCCAGCAAAAGTGGGAAGCAAGCAGACTGGATGGGCAAAAAACTCAGCCCAGAAGCAGAAAACCCAGGCAGGGGCAAACTGCCCCAGAACTGCTAGCTGGCATCCTCCACAGCCCCGAGAACCCGCAACAGAGGCCCCGGGGAAGAGCCATCCTCCAAGCCCTCCGCCCTTAAAGAAAAGGAAGAATCCATGGACAAGGCAGCAAGAAAGGGCCGCTGGTAAGACCCAGAAGCCTTGGCAGGAGGAACAGGCTCGAAAAACCTCCGTCCCCAATCCGAATGGGGTAGCTCCCGAAAACCGCCCGAATCTCGGCCCCAACTAAACCCCGCCCCAACCCCGAAACCCGCAGACGGTCCGGAGCCAGGAACAAGGAGGGAAAGGGGGAAACAGCACCTAACCAAAACGGGGTGGCCCCGGGGCATCCGAGTGGGAAACCAACCAAGTGTGTTGCAGCAACCTAACCTAGCTTTCAACACGGATGCCACCTGTACTCTGAAAAGTAATACTATCAGGAGAGAACTGGAGAACAAGCAGAGAATCTCTCTTGCAAGACTCCAGGTCAAGGTGTCAGTGACCCAACAGGCAACATGCCGGAGGTAAAAGTGGAGACTGTCACCTGCAGACAAGGGCACAGCAACTAACGATTCTGTACAAGACAAGTTGGGACCCGGAAGACACATACAATGGACCACCGAACCCCAACATGGGTTTCCAAGGCACGTAGAGGTAACAACTACGGGAAGCCTGGGCAAGGTGTTGCTAACCGGATAAACACCTAAAAATAACAAGGAGGTAGAGGACAACGCTGAACACCCCTGCAACGTGTACAATCACAGGGGCCTAGCAGAGGGGCCACCAAACACTACCAGTGGAACTATAGCCACACTAGGCACACCCCCACCAGGCAAATGAAAAATAAAAACAAAAGAAAAACCCTGCAAAAGTACACCGTCTCCAGAGGCAACAGGAACCGGTTGCCGCTTAGGTGGCAGGTCGCACAACACCTTGACGCCCTAACCAGCACAATACCAGTCCCTACCCAGGGCCAAACAATGGCCCCAAGCCCCAGCTGGCCCCAAGGGCGAGGCAAATGCCAAGCAGCAAGAACTTCTACGGGAATGGTTCCCGAACGCCCCAGAGAAGATAAGCCTGTTACGCAGGGGCAGTACTCACAGGGCACTTAGGGAAGGAAGCCCACTAAGCGCATGCAGCCCCGGCACTGATGAGGTACTCCTGGCCACCGCACAACACCACTCGGCAGTGAACGCCACACAAGGCAAACACCGCCTAGGAAACTGAGGCCAGAGAAGCGTCTATCCTAGTTGACATTAGCTGACAAACTGATGCTAGGCAGCCGGCGCGGTAGGTCCGGGACTCCCCCTTCCCCCTCTCGGGGCGGGGAGGGCTGCGCGGACAATCGGCGCGGCAGTAAAGTGTGATGTTTGCTTGTTTCCTTGGGATTGTAGGGAGTTTCTACCTCTCTGTTCGGTTTTTTGTTTTAGTTTTTTACCATGTGGGTTTTGTTTAGTTATGCCTACCTTTCTGGGTGCAAACCCCGGTCGATGGCAGATAACGAAAACCCCAACCACGAGGGGGTTTTCCAGGGCCATTGCTCCCTGAAACCTCTCTGAAGGGGCCAGGTTCTGACGCTGGTCCCTGGTAGGTCTGAACTCCTTAGCTAATGTCCGGGTCTAATATAACATACATTAGCCCGATAAGCTCCAGGGAGCTGCAGGGGCTCCCCACAGAAAAGTTTCAAAAACTGTTGGCATTCTTTGTAAGATCAGATATTATGTACCTCGCCCTGCCCTGGTGACGCTCTATTACTCCCTCATCTATCCTTATCTCAACTATGGTATTTGTGCTTGGGGTTCTACTACCCAGAATCATTTACATCCTCTAATTACTCAACACAAAGCTGCTATTAGGACAATATCCAACTCTGGCCCCAGACATCACTCGGTACCACTACTCAAATCTCTGAATATGTTAGATATTAAGTCACTGCACGTCCTCTCATGTGTATTATATATATACAAAACGCTGAACTGTAATGCCAATCCTGACCTTAAAAGCTTTATTGAAGGTTGTAACAGAACCCATGAGCACCACACCAGAAACAAATACTTTTTTGGTATTCCAAGAGTATGACTTAATCAAACTAGAATTGTTCTACAAATCAAGGGACCCAGAATGTGGAATGATCTTCCCAATCATGTTAAAGACTCTATCTCTCTCAACCAGTTTTAGATAAAAACTAAGCACTGCCTAATTAACTCCCTGTAACCTACCTTACCCCTATAATGTCAACCCATGTCTGTTATTTTTAAGCAATGCTGTTTGTCGACCAAATTTTATTTTTGCTGTTTTTCTGCCATGTTCCATTTTTTTATTTTTTTATTTCTCAACACATTTTATACTTTAATCTCAATTAGTATTAAGTTTTTGTCTTTAGTGTTTTTCCTGGCCGAAATGCTTTGCGTAATAGTGGCTTTAGGCATTGTATGTACAAGCTCTATCTATAAATTCATCAATATTTGTATCACCCCTTGTATGCATGTACTTTACCTGAATAAACATTTGAATTTGAATTTGAATTAGTTCCCTTTAGATTTCATTTTGTACAAACACACTTTGGAACTTTTTGTTCAATGTTTCACATATGTCCTTTTCAATATCTGTGAATCTGTTACCAATTTTCAATCTCTGAATATTACTCTTTACCTGCAATGTGTTGTTTATGAATTTATTGAATAGGCCTGCATGGTTCTATTTTACATTTGTCTGTAATCCCTTTTTCAAAATTTCTTTCTGCCTCTCTCCTCACTGCCGTGTAGTTGTGTCTCACATCTTTGTATCACTGGTATGTTTGGAGGTTTGGCCTCTTCCTATATTGATTAAATTTTTGTGTCTTTTAGTCTCTGGCCCTCTCGCAATTTCTGTTGAACCAATCCTGTTTCCAAGTTCTGCATCTCTGCTTTGGTATAAATTTTGTTGTGCCTTTATCATATATTTCACAAAACTTGACATGCATCTCATTTATTGCATGTCCTAACAGCAAGTCTTTCCAGTCAAATTCCTTAAAGAAATGTGAAAGTTCCCCATAATGACCTCTCCTGTTGTAACTCATTTTCAATGTATGTACCTTTACCTGAATAAATATCTTATCTTTTCTTATCTTAAATAGAACTCTGGGCCTGATGCAACCTAATAGTTTGTCCACTACCAATGGAAGAATCGTCAGAAAGCAACAAGGAGCTTTCCCCAGAAATACAGCTAGAAATATTTATTGCTTCGTATAATACCTGTGGTGAGCTCTCCTCCTGGGGCAGCACGAAGGATGAGAGCACTTTCTGCTAGTGAAAGAGAGAGATAGCTCTCTTGATTCCTAGTTGATGTGTACAATATTAGACCATCTGGTTCATCAGTCTTGAATTTGAACACAAGTTGCAAGCCATTACCCTCGGGACTTCCGTATCTGACATAGCCTGGAGCTGATTTGTCAAATGACACGAGACTTGCAACCTATAAGAAAATATTTCATGTGTATCAGTTGGTAAGCACAGAAAACTTTAATTTAACCTGTCATGAAATGATGTAGAATGCACAGAGAGATATAATGACTTGAGAGGGGTGCATTGATTTCAGGGTGCAGTAATGAATAGTGGGATGAATGAGGACATTGAGTGTCGTATAATGAGTAAAGGGAATATAGTGAGAATTTGGAATATATTTAATATAGAGGATATAACGAGTACATAGGGTATAATATCTATAGAGTACTTAGGACATAATACACTCCCCGATCTAACTGTTGGACCTCAATCTTTCATTTATTCCATCTATTCATTTGCTGTCCAGTACTAAGTGGTGCCTCAACTCATGAGAGGCCTATGTATGTTTCACAGCCAACCACTGCGTTGCGACCTCTGCACCTGCTTGACGACCCAGTATAGTTTTTGCGGCTGCCTACGCCTTACAAAGACTTTATCCCTCTTACCATTTTATATCTATGCATATTTTTTGCATCCTGGTACTATGGCATCAGGAAATGAAGCAAATCTGTTGTTCAGGGCTTCAACACGTGATAGAGCAAAAAGAAAACACTTTGTGATGACTTTTGAACAAAAAGTTCGGCTTATAAAAAAAGTTGAAGCTGGAATTCCTACAAGTGTTGTGTGCACCATGTACAAAGTTAGTTAAACCACCCTAAGTGATATATTGAAGGCTAAAGATAAGGATTTTTGCAGGTTATGCTAAAAGTGAAAGTGATGTAGCAATGCACAATAGAAAAATTGTTAGTAGTGCATGTATTAAAAGTGTTAATGAGGCTGTATTCACCTAGTTGTGCTTGTAATTACCTAAGTGTAATTACCTAAGTGTAGTTACAGGATGAGAGCTACGCTCATGGTGTCCCGTCTCCCCAGCACTCTTTGTCATATAATGCTTTGAAATTACTGACGGTTTTGGCCTCCATCACCTTCTCACTTAACTTGTTCCAACCGTCTACCACTTTATTTACATATGTGAATTTTCGTATATTTCTCCGGCAGCTTTGTTTCGTTAGTTTAAATCTATGACCTCTTGTTCTTGAAGTTCCGGGTCTCAGGAATTCTTCCCAATCAATTTTATCGATTCCTGTTACTATTTTGAACGTAGTGATCATATCGCCTCTTTTTCTTCTATCTTCTAGTTTTTGCATATTTAATGCCTCTAACCTCTCCTCGTAGCTTTTGTCCTTCTGTTCTGGGAGCCACTTAGTGGCATGTCGTTGCACCTTTTCCAGTTTGTTGATGTGCTTCTTAAGATATGGGCACCATACAACCGCTCCATATTCCAGCTTTGGTCTAATAAAAGTTGTGAACAATATCTTTAGTATTTCTCCATCCATGTATTTAAAAGCAATTCTGAGGTTAGAAAGTGTAGCATAGGCTCCTCGCACAATGTTCTTAATGTAGTCCTCCGGTGACAGTTTTCTATCTAGAACCACCCCTAGATCCCTTTCTTTGTCAGAATTCTTTAAAGATTTCTCACATAATTTATAGGTTGTGTGGGGTCTATGTTCTCCAATTCCACATTCCATAACATGGCATTTATTCACATTAAATTCCATTTGCCAAGTGTTGCTCCATATACATATTTTGTCCAGGTCATCTTGATACCTGGTTGATACCTGGTTGATGGGGTTCTGGGAGTTCTTCTACTCCCCAAGCCCGGCCCGAGGCCAGGCTTGACTTGTGAGAGCTTGGTCCACTAGGCTGTTGCTTGGAGCGGCCCGCAGGTCCACAAACCCACCACAGCCCGGTTGGTCCGGCACTCCTTGGAGGAATAAATCTAGTTTCCTCTTGAAAATGTCCACGGTTGTTCCGGGCATCTTGAAGGGCATGCCAATCATCTAGGTTTCTTATCTTCCCTATTATCTTAGCATCATCAGCAAACATGTTCATATAATTCTGTATTCCATCTGGAAGAACATATATGTAGACAATGAACATTACCGATGCAAGAACTGAACCCTGTGGTACTCCACTCGTAACATTCCACCAATCCGATACCTTGCCTCTGATTACGGCCCTCATTTTTCTGTCAGTTAGGAAATTTTTCATCCATGTTAGTAGCTTACCTGTCACTCCTCCAATATGTTCCAGTTTCCAGAAAAACCTCTTATGGGGAACTCTGTCGAAAGCCTTTTTTATGCCCAAATAGATGCAGTCAACTCAACCATCTCTTTCCTGTAAAATCTCTGTGGCTCGATCATAAAAACTGAGCAAGTTCATTACACAGGATCTTCCAGATCGAAAACCATACTGTGTCTGATATTATATCGTTTTCCTCCATGTGTTCAACCCATTTAGTTTTAATTATTTTTTCCAATATTTTGACTATTACACTTGTCAATGATACAGGTCTATAATTGAGGGGGTCTTCCCTGCTGCCACTTTTGTAGATTGGAACTATGTTAGCCTTTTTCCACACATCAGCTACAACTCCTGTACACAGGGATGCCTGAAAAATCAGTTGAAGTGGAATGCTGAGCTCAGATGCACATTCTCTCAGAACCCATGGTGAAACTCCATCTGGACCAACTGCTTTGTTCTTACTTAGCATTTTTTCCACTTCATCTCTAGACACCTCTATGTGCTCTATGTTGTTCCCCTGGAATTCTTATTGTGTCTGGTTCCCTAAAGATTTCATTTTGTACAAACACACTTTGGAACTTTTTGTTTAGTGTTCCTCACATTTCCTTTTCATTTTCCGTGAATCTCTTTCCCATTTTCAACCTCTGAATATTATCCTTTACCTGCAATTTGTTGTTTATGAATTTATAGAATAGACCTGGTTCTGTTTTACATTTGTCTACAATCCCTTTTTCAAAATTTCTTTCTGCCTCTCTCCTCTCTACTCACTGTTTCTCACATCTTTGTATCTCTGGTATGTTTGGGGGTTTGGCCTCTTCCTGTATTGATTCCATTTTTGTGTCTTTTGGTCTCTGGCCCTCTTGCAATTTCTATTGAAGCAATCCTGTTTCCTAGTTCTGCATCTCTGTTTTGGTATAAATTTTTTTGTGCCTTTATCATATATTTCACAAAACTTGACATACATCTCATTCACTTCCTTGCCTAGCAACAAGTCTGTCCAATTATACTCACTAAAAAAAATTCTAAGGTTGCCATAATGTCCTCTCCTGAAGTCAGGTTTTTCAACTGCTTCAACCTCCTTATTTTCTTCCAGATTATAACGCATTGCATACTTTATTCCCAAAAAGACATGGTCACTTTAACCCAAGGGAGGAAGGTACTGAATGTCAAATATCTCTTCCTTCTTCCTGGTAAATATCAAATCTAGCATGGAGGGAACATCCGCGTCCCTCATCCTCGTAGCTCGTAGTGTGATAATGGCTGGGTACAATGTTCAAATATCAGTGATTCAATGCTGTTCACGATGTTCACAGTGCTAGCCACAGCACCACAGCATTATTTTGTCCATCTAGGAATCTTCAAACGCCTTCTTAGGTTCCTTTTCAAAATAAACTTGTGGTCAATTACTCATTTACAGGAATTTGTGACCAGGATTGTGGTTATAATTACAATTGTGCATAGTATTGTTGAAGGAGGAATTTTGGTGAGGGAGGGAGAGAGAGAGAGAATTGAGGTAGCCTCACTGTGTGGCAGCCACTCTTGTTTTGCTCATCATACTAGCTTCGTGGTTTGCTATGGGAACACACATGTACATGGGTATATACAGTGTGTGTGTATAGTGTAATAACAGCAACAGGAGTATGTTGAGTGGAGCTATTTTGGTGAGGGAGGTGACATTGTAATCGTAGGGTTGTCTGCTGTCTGCTGTGTGATTTCTCATGCAGTGTATGGTGGCCACTGTACTGCTTGGACACAATACCAGCTTACTTGCATAGTTCTGGTAAATAAAACATGTAGATAGGTATAACATGTGTAAATAGTGTAATAAAAACAATAACAGTATGGTGGGAGGAGCAATGTTGGCGAGTAAGATGTTGGAGTGAGGGAGGGCCTGTCTGGGGGTGGCTGCTCACACTCGCGATGTTCTGAGTGTGTTGATGGTGAATGTATATAGTGTGTGACAATGTATAGTGTGTACATATGTTGTAAATATACATAAATGAACACGAAACATTGGTGTGAATAACTGTATGATGGGAGGAGCAAAGTTGGTGAATACAATGTTGGAAGAGTGAGGGAGGGCTGGCTGGGTGTGACAGCTCACACTTGCGATGTTCTGAATGTGTTGATGGTGAATGTATATAGTGTGTGACAGTGTATAGGCTGTAAATAGATTGTATATATACATAAATTAGCATGATACATGGTAAATATGTGCAACATATGTGTACACAAGTGTCATGCACGTAACACAGTGTCCTCGGACAGTACGGATGTTTTACTGCCATAATATAGTGTACGTGTTCATTATACATAGGATTAGCACATAAAAACAAATAAAATGTATAATGGGGCCTCGACTTATGATGCTAATCCGTTCCCAGAGACGGATCGTAAGTCGAAGTGATTTTTCCCATAAGAAATAAAGGGATTTGAATTAATCCGTTCCCCACCCTCCAAAATATTAACGTACAAATACATTTTATACTGAATACAATGTTTTTTTCTAACTACAATACAGTACCTAAGTTTATCTTACCTTTATGGAGGGCTCTTGATGGCATATGGAAGATGGTAATTACCTAAGTAATTACCTAAGTGTAGTTACAGGATGAGAGCTACGCTCGTGGTGTCCCGTCTTCCCAGCACTCTTTGTCATATAGAGTGCTGGGAAGACGGGACACCACGAGCGTAGCTCTCATCCTGTAACTACACTTAGGTAATTACTTAGGTAATTACCATCTTCCATATGCCATCAAGAGCCCTCCATAAAGGTAAGATAAACTTAGGTACTGTATTGTAGTTAGAAAAAAATATTGTATTCAGTATAAAATGTATTTGTATGTTAATATTTTGGAGGGGTGGGGAACGGATTAATTCAAATCCCTTTATTGGTGATGAGGTGGGGGGGAGGAGGAGAGGTGTTACTGTTGGGAAAGGGAGTCCCCTTCCATTATCACATCAGGCAGTGATGTTTTCTCTGGGGTACTCTCTCTCCTACATTTTGCCTGAATACCACTAGGACCTGGTTGTGGTTCAGTGCTTGTTTGTCTCACTACAAATTTGTCAAGAGACATTTGTTTTTCCCTTCATTTTAACATTTGTCTGCAATGATGCATCACTTTAGCACCCATAATGTCCATTTTCTTAGCCAGTATGGTGGATATTGTTGACTGAGATTTGTTGTACTGTACTGCCTAGCCAGTCCAACAACCCACACACCATCTTCATAGTTACAAATGATCTCTTGTTTCTGCTCTATGGTCATCCTTACATGGGATCTCATATGTTGAGCCTTACCACTGACTTTCCTGGGACTCATCTCGTGATATATAATAATTACTTTAATGTTCAAAATGGAAAAAATCACCACAAAAGCGAAATTTCTTATAGGCGCCATCATCACTAAGCGGGCAGCTGTAGTAAACTAAGGCAGGTCGGCCGCGTGACCGGAAACCACGGGCTCGGTCGACCCGAACGTGTACCAACAAATATCCTAAGTCGATGACACCATCGGATGTCGAGTCACGTTATTCGATGAAATTTATATTGTAACTCGAAATTATCGTAAATAGGGGCAATCGTAAGTCAAGGTGCCACTGTATTTGGAATTGTGCGCAAAAAATTAACAAAATTATATTCGCCGTAACTCAAGTGCCCCGCCCCGGCGCCCTACTGGCCCAGAGAGAATACGTCACGGGCGAACGGGAAATGATGACGTCACTCGCCAACTTACGGACCCCATAGCAGCCAAAGTAAGTACAATTTCAATTTTTTTTTGACATACCCATACTGAGGGAAGGGTTTTTGACACTTTAAAAAACAAAAGAATTTTTTCATGATAATTTATTTCCTGCGCACTGGACGGACGTCATATTTGGAGGCGGCGCAGTTAAAGTGTTAAAAATGGTTAACACAATGGCCTGCTACAGCTTGATTTGGTTGACACTTCTCAGCAAAACTTTGCAATTCTTCTCATACTGCACACATTTTCTTAATAAATGAGGGAGATACATCCTCTACTCTACATCAACAACCCTCATAACATTTTCATGTTTACGAATGGTCTCTTGTTTTCCTCGATGGTCATTCTCACATGTGTTTTCTTGGTTTGAACCTTACCACTGGTTTTCTTGGGGCCAAGGGTGAGATATGTAATAACAAATTTTAAGTTCAAATAGCTAAAAATTAGAGAAAACTATAATTCTTTACAAAGAATTCAAGTACGATAGTCACTAGGCGGGAGGCACTGGTAAACTGAGGCGCGATCACCGTGCCACCACGCACTAGGTCAGCCAATACGCGTATCAACAAACTCGTTTCCCGAGGCAAAGTTTGTGACCCGATTCCAATTTTCCGAAGAAATTGGGCTTGTAACCCGAAAAGTTCTTAAAAGGGGCATTCGTAAGCCGAGGTGTCATTGTAACAGGAAAATAAAAGATTCATACCTTGATTGGACAACCAGGAGCTGTATCAAAAGACTCCTTGCTCTTAGAAAGATCCACAGCAACAGAGGACATGACAATGTTGTCGATGCATCCATTAAAGTCCTCATTTGTAATTTCTCTGAGATCATGCTCTCCAGGGTAGCCACCAAAGAACATTGTGTCTGGTGTACTTGAAAACTGTTTAACATTACCAGGAGATTCTGCCTGGATTGTCTCAGAGCCAATCTGGGAGAATATAAAATACAAAATTACTGAAATTATTAAGAAATTAAAAAAGATTTAAATGACAAAATGGATGAAATATATATTTTTCATATACATTTGTCAGGAATACATAGGTTTAGTAAGTAAGTATAACAAACATGCAAAACAAATACTTTTTGATGGATTAAAAACTAACCTTTAATACACCATTTTGTTGCCTGGCAACTTCCACATGGTGCCACTCTCCATCGTGGTAAGTATCAACTGATTTCATAGTAACAACACCTGACCCAAGATTGTACTGAAATATCACATTACCCTCCTCCATTGCCACAGCCATATACTGATTCTGTCAGAAATATATAAATAAATATATTATAATTATCTACACTATAAGAGAGAATGTCTGTCTGTCCAAAGTTGAAAGCCAGACGTTTGGAGCTAGCCTCCTCCAAATTTGTAGAGGAAATGATGTGTGGTATTGGACAAACATAGGCTGAGTGGGGTAGGCCTAAGTTAAATGACTTAAGAAATACTATAATTATTGACACCCCACCCGATTTTCATGGATTCAAATGCGGTCAAGTATACAATATAAGCTGTGATGCCTGCCCTAAGATTTTCATGATCGTACAAGAATATTTCCTTGGAGATCCATACAGTAATTTCATTGCTTCTTAATATTACATTTTCTGAGAAGGGAAAGAAGGGGGCCTAAGTGGGATGGGAGAGAATGGGGGGAAGAGGGTAAGGATAAAAATGGTGGGTAAGGATGAGGGGAGGAAGGAATAGGGGAAACAAAAGGAATGGAGGAGAGGGGAAAAGTTATCCATATTGTTTCAAGGCTTAACCCTTAAACTCTGTTCTGCTCTCTGCTCTGCTCTGGGCTATATGACCTTCAACACCCACAGACATACAAAAAAAAAGAAAACAGCGTTGAATGTAATAAAACCAGCGTTGAATGTAATGAAACGCCATTTTCTCGGTGAGAAAACGAATGAAACGCCATTTCTCACGGGTGAGCTGCGAGAGAAATCCGTGCAGCCCTCCCCCCCCAAGAGGGGGAGGGAGGGGAGGTCCTGGACCTCACCGTGCCAGCTGCCTAGCATCAGTTCGGAAGCTAAGCTTCAACCAACGTGAAAAAAACGCCGACCGGTGAGAGGGAGGGTTGCTAGGGAGCCTCCAGGGCTCACCCAGAAAACGGCGTTTCATTACATTCAATGCTGGTTTTCTGTGGGGAGCCCCTACAGCTTTCTGCAGCTACATACCTAAAGAGAAGGAAATAGGGACTTACCCAGGAGGCGACCGCCACAAACACCTCAACGTAAAGTAAAGACAACTGTCTGACACCTGTGACACAAAGCAACACAAGAACGCCCAGGAGCAGGCACATTCACCGAATAACGGGCGGCCATGGACCTTGTTTGACTTCCAAAATCCACGTGCATGAATATGAGCCCATTAAGACATGTTACCAAATACGGCAGCCAAAACTGCAAACTTCCAAACGTCATGGTTGCGAGTAATCCTGCGGGCAACCTGGCAGACTCGAGCCCTGGAACAGGGAACGAGAGAAACCGGATCAACCCAAAGAGCTTTCCCAGCCACCACAGCTGAAGCGCGCAGGTAACGGCGAAGAACTGCAACCGGACACAACACATGACGCGCCCCTGGATGAACCAACCAAGCATCACTGACCCACGGACCCCTCCGGAAAGGAGTCGTCTCATTCTTCGCCAGAAAAGATGGAGAAGGCTGCAAATGGACAAACCTACCCCCAGGACCAAAAGAGCAGAAACTCCTGCGCCAGAGGAGAGCATGAAGCTCCCGGCCCCCAGAGGCCAATGCCAACAAAAACAAAGCCTTGGAAAAACAATCTGGAATCGAAGGGGCCACCACAAACCATGGAGCGGAAAGATAGGCGAGCACCCTGTCCAAGGACCACGACGGCTCAGGAGGCGCATGAGCAGGTCGGAGGTGAAACATAGCATGAGAAAGCTTATGGAACGGGGCGGATGTGACGTCCACCCTGAACGTTTGCTTGAGCGGCTCCGCCAGCACCGCACGATATGAGGCTACAGTATTAGGGATCAAATGACGGTCCTGAAAAAGCCAAGAACGAAAGGACAAGACAACTTTATCCAAAAGAAAAGACAACCTACGAAGAGCCAGAAAATGGCGAAAAGAATGCCAGAAAACTTTATACTGTCGCCGAGACAAAGCTCTCAGGTGGGACACCATCAACGAAGCCACCTGATCACCATACAAAATGGTGATACACCCACGTCAAAAAGACCAGAGGCGAAGAGCAGAGGAGAAGGTCGAACCAGCCCCGTAATGGACCGGGTTCGGACACCGAGCCAATAGCACCGGAACCCAAGGCTGGGCTGACCACCAAAGGGGCCACAAGAACTACTCTCCCTGGGAATGTCTCCAACCAAACCAGAACCCGAAGCAACAGCTGGACCGGGGGAAGAGATACAGGTAACCCCCACCTCGACCAGTCCTGCTGAAAGGCATCCACCACAAACGCCTTGCAATCGGGGAAGGGTGTCACATAAATTGGGAGACCCCAAGACCAAGCCGACGTGAAGAGGTCAACGTCTGGGAGACCTTACATCTGACAGATCCAATGAAACGAGTCGTCTGTTAACCTTCCATTCCATGGACAGGGGATGGAATCGAGACAGACTGTCCGCCAGAATGTTGGACACTCCCCGGACATGAACCGCATGGAGAGCCAAACCCTGAGAATCCAGCAGATGAACCACTCGAAGGGACCAACCCCAAAGAGCCAAGGACCGAAGAGAACCCCCCCGGTTCAGGCAATGAACCACTGGAGAACAGTCCGAATGGAGGTGAATGGTCGATCCCTGAGCAACCCGAACTCTCCGAAGCGCGGACCAGACTGCCGGGAACTCCCGAACCGTGCTGTGAGCCCGACGGAAGGACGAACCCCACCTTCCCTGGCCTGCCTGGTGAGCACTGGTCACAAAGCTCCAGCCGAGAGACGACGCTTCTGTGAACACATCGAGCGAGGGCTCAGGAAGGCGCCAAGGCACCGAACCCTGAAAACCCCGAAGAGGAAGCCGGGGACGCAGCAACCGACACAAGGCCCCCGGAGGATGAACCCAACGATCGCGAGGGAGGCGGAAGGGACGTCCCCGAAGGAACCAAAACAGACGCCGAAGCTAAATCCGATGAGGCGGATAGACTAGCACGGCGAAGTTCAGACTCCCGTACAATTGCTCGAGCAACCGTCGAGTGACCCGGGACCCCCTCAGAAACAGCCGACAGTGGTCCCGCAGGCGCAGCAATGCCTCTGGAGGGAGAGTCAAGGAAACGGCCTGAGAATCCCAAATAAGACCCAGCCAGGTCCGAACCTGGGACGGAACCAGATAGGACTTCCTCGAGTTCACCAGGAACCCGATCCTGGCGAGCTGGGAAAGAACTATATCCCTGGTGAGCAGACAAGCTGACTGACTGGGAACCCACATCAGCCAATCGTCAAGGTAGGCCAAAACCCGAATCCCTAGAAGACGCAGACGGGTCACCACAACCCGGGTCAGATGCGTGAAAATGCGAGGTGCCAGATTCAACCCAAAAGGTAGGCATTGAAAGTAGTAAGTGTGACGCCCCACCACGAAACCTAACCAGTCCCTGAACTCCGGATGAATAGGAACGTGCCAATAAGTGTCCTTGAGGTCCAGGGACACCATCCAAGCACCCGGCTCCAACAGAAGCCGGACCTGAGACCGAGTAGTCATCCGAAAGGAGGGGCAAGGAATCCAGGGGTTCAGATGGGACAAGTCCAGAATGTACCTCAGATCCGCACAGTCCCGTTTCGGCACTGGAAATAGACAGGAAACCCACCTGACGGACAAAGTAGTTTCAACCACGCCCAAGCGCACCCACTTCAAGACGACTTGACAAAGCGCAGGAGAAGAAACCTGCCCTGTTAGTCCCGAACCCCCCAATGGAGGACGAGTTCCCCAATGCCACCGCAGGCCAGATGACACGACCGAAAAGGACCACAAATCGTGGGATCAAGCGTGGGCAAACAGAGCGAGCCTCCCCCCCCCCACAATTTCCCCGTCAACGGGGCGAACCGCGAAAGGGCCGATGCCCCTAACGAGAACCCAAACGTCGAACAAGGCGATCACTGCACCGACTAGATGATGCTGGCCCCGAAGAGAACAACGGCTCAGAAACTGGCACCAATGGCCCACATCGACCAGCGGAACCCGGAATCCTCGAACGACCTCTCCGAGACTGCCGAGAATGATCGCCTCGGAGAATCAACAAGTCCACCATAGGACGACGACTAGATGAAGCCGCTTGCAGAAACTGAGAGACCACAATCTCTGCAAACAGCAACAGACAAAACAGAGACAAGAACTTAAGAGCCAGGGCCCAAGTGGATTCCAAAGAGAGGGCGAGCACAGCCTGACGGAACGTGAGGCGAGAAGCAAAAAAACAGAGACACCGCTTCCTTCAGGATGGGCGCAAAGAACTTCAACAGTGCAGCTGATGCCCTAGCTGCCGAAGTTAGTGCCCCAGATGAAGGCCCTTCACTCAACGCTCCCACATCCTCCTCAAGCCAGGCAGAAGACAGCTCAAGAATGGAAAAGAAACGTAAGACCGAAACCAAATGCCCATGGGCGCGCAAATCTTCCGCAACCAACAAAGCCGAAAGAAGAGGAACCTGCACGAGAAGCTGGAAAAGGCCAACATCCCGAGAAAGCACGGGAGTGAACAAGCACACATTAAGGTGCTCAAACTCGCACCCCCAGGTAAATGTGCATAAAAGTAGAAGTTTCCTGCCAATCAAGCATGAATCAGACAATCAGACAACCTAACCCATGCCACACCCCCAATGAAAAGAAAAGGGCAGTCTGCCAGCCAGGAAGACTCCGAAACCTCCAAACGCAGCCAAAAACAGGAAGAAGAACCAAACTCAAATGAGGATGGATCCATCGCAGAGGCATAACCCGGGTCTCGTAAGAGGTATGCAGCAAGAATTTCCCGAGTCACCTTCGCGGAGATACGGGAGTAGAAAACCTCTGGAAAGACGGAGCCAAGGTTCCCAAAGAAGCCCAGAACCAAACCCGGAGAGGAGCCGAACCCAAATCATACTCATACAGGGAAGGGAGGTAAGAAATCCCCTCCCCCTGCAACAATAAGCCCCGCAAAGAAGGCAAAAGCACCCAAGCGGGGTCAAAGGGATCCCAAGGCCCCCAGGACGACTCCTCCCCAGCCCCAGAATCCCCCACGTCGGGACCTGGGTCAGAGCCATCCTTCAAACCCTCTACCCCTGAAGAAAAGGCAGAATCCAGGGGAAAGGCAGAC